AATAAATAAATAAAAGGGAGTTGCACTCTTTACAAAGATGTACGGGTGCTTATTTGTTTCAAACTGCTCGAAAAGATCATGTGATACTTCGCTGCGTTCATGTTCTAAAATACACAAACTAAAATGATAAAGGCAGCAGGGGGCAATCAGTGGAAAACTCCGTTAAGTGTTTTAAACTCTAAACTTGGAGTAACATTCCTGAATTGAGCGGCAGTTTCATTTCATCAACAGCTCTGCTCAACCTTTTCTTCCCTAGAGCAACAACTTTACACAATCGATCGATACCAGCCAAGAACATTACTGTCTGCCCCGTGATTTTAATGCTTTGTGGAAACAGCTGTCACGTTACTGGAAGACTTAATCTGGTGTTGATGTCTACATAATTTTATCTGAGTTATTTCCTGATCCTTGACACTTAGATGAATTAACCTCGCATTACTTGTCGTCCTTACCTCTCTTGCTTTGAAACTGGATTTTTTCGGCAACATCGTAAGTCTCTGTTTCACCACGCTTTTAATATCGTCCAATGTTTTCAAGTCTTCATGCAAAACTCCTAAGCACGCCATTGTTTGAAACATTACTGCAATGCCGTCGATCTCGTCTATAGCTGTTGCTGACAGATTCATCTAGCATATACAAAGAAATAACACAGTTTTGAGAGCTGTGGAAAAGTAAGATCCACGATGGGAATCAGTGATCGGAAGTCAGTCAATCAATCCATATCAATACTGCGGTGTGATTTCTTTTAAATGGATTTGTTTCGAACTAGTGAACAGTTCAGAGGGTTTAACAATAACACCGCTTCTACTCAACCGTGACAACCTATGTCCGAGGTAAGGCAATAGAGTAAATATAAAACCCCGTATGTGATTAACAGCCCGATTGTACGTAACGTAAAAGGTAACTGATTATTGTTCAAGACATCTTAAAAAAGCGTACGCAACATGGGTACGTCGATAGGCATTGATGAAATCGACGATATTGAGCGCATGTCCGAGGTAATGAGATGTCGAGGTCTATCGTTAGGAGGACTGCAGACATTAGACCAGATGAAACAGAGGGCGAAAAAGGCTCTCAGAATATCAGAGAAGGTAAGAATGAAACATCTCTGGCTGCGTATCGATTCAAACTCAAGGTACACTGATATTGCCATACTGTCGCAGAATTATCAAGAACCGATGACCTTAAATACCAGGCCTACGGTAAAAAGAAACGCTGAAGTTATCGGCCGACTTGATTGTCGACCAACTGTGTTGTGGCCGGCAATTTATATGTTTAGGTTAAAAATTGGTTTATTCAGAGACACCGTACGTTACAGCAATTCAAAGCGAAACCAATGGACACCAATAACTTTATTAGTTGTTGACTGATTGTCAAACCAAACGTATACTCCACATTTAGAGCTTATTAATTATACTTCTAAAGCTCTTTGTTCAAAATTTATCATTTCGTTATTTCAAGCGTAAATCACATAGCGGAATCACCTCGGGGGGGGCGAAACTTGATAATCAGTGTAGCATAATTCAATGAACTTTCCCTAAATTCTATTCTGAGCTCGTGCCGAAGAAAGTGAATATGTTTAGAATGTCAAGCTGCATATTGTTTGTCCTCCCTCGTCAAATCTGCAAAGAAGAACTTCTTCAATGGGTACCGGATGGACTTGAGCTCAAACCCCGATTTAGAGCTATGATGATAGGCTGTAGACAAATTTATCACGACTCTCATCCGCGTTATTTATCGCTGTATATTGGCACTTACAGCCCTAATTTAACAAGTAAATTCCTCTGATAGTTTCCGCTCTTTTGATGGAAAGAACCGCAATGTTTCTCTGGGTGGAGGTTGATATTCTATGAAAAGCCGATGGCCCATCGATATCTTCTGACAGTTAAGCATTATCTTGCGTGATAAAGATAACAGTTTCCTTTGTGTTGTCCTTTCCTGTTGAAAGGCAGAATCTATATTGTTTGAAAAATTCACTTCCGAGAGGATTTTTAATCGTATGTTAACGTTCGACTTGAACAAGAGGTTACACGGAACCTACATTCTGGCCGGATTTGCCGTTCAGAGGGAACGAATAGAAGGCCGTGCGGTTTTTAGGAAAATCGCTATTAAGTGCTTTTCATTGTTTACTTAACATGGAGAGTTATAGAGATCATGACTTTGGAACAAGTTGATGCCATTACAAATTGGAAATACTGAAATCGCTACATGAAATGCGGGAACTAGCGTAAAGTCAACAGAAAAGGAATAAGTCACTTTGTGACTTAGGTTGAGTCACGGAGAAATCCAGAGTGATGGTAACCATCGAACTCCGCAGAATAATAAACGCATACCTCATGCGTTATAGAAAACCAGTGCCAAATAGGCTCCTTATCAAATTTCCGGTTGCAAAATTCATCAAATTTTAACGCTGCGATTGAAATCTTTCTCTGCCTGCACGAGCCAAATTCCCCTTTTCGACTGATTGAAATTAAAATATGAAGCAGTGACTTTCACAAGTTTCTTTTTGTCAGAAAAGTATGGGTTTTTTTCGCTTTAGTAATCTACTAATCTATCCCATCGGCAATGTTTACCTAAGACAATTGAATTAATTTATCGACACAACGATATCTGCCGGGTTTTACGCGATATTCCTCGCTTTTGGCTTTTGTTCGTTTCGTCACAATCATTTCAGAATGGTGAGTGAGAAAAAAA